ACAGAGAGCTAGTATGTTAAGGACTGCTCAGCACATAACCTAAGGCGCAAGAAACAGTGGAGAGCAGGCGAGAGGGGGGCCAGCAGTCATTCGGGTCATCACTGCAGTTCGCATTTCGCTGTGGCCTTAGGGTGCAGGATTTTTACAACCAATGCGAGACTGTTTCTTTTCCTTAGCAGATATGATAATGTATTCAATTTAATCAAGAAGACGGATTCCATAGCATGAAACCAAGAACATTTTGGTTGATTGCTCCATTTGAATGAACCAGAGCTTTATGCTCATCTACTCTTTTCATCCCACCCACTAGCTTTTGTAAGAAAAATTGTAGATTGGAAAGAATTATCTCTATCATAATTAAGCTCTTTGTAGAGAAAGGAGAATAGTTTAATTTGGAGTGGAAGTTTGGTCGAGGCAGACTATAATTTCTTACACTTTGCTGAATACAACATAATTAAAGTTTGACATGGATTCTATAGACTTGCAGAGGGAAAAAGTGCACTGGAGGGTAAATGAAGCCTGAGGTAATAAAGATTGTGGCTGTAGTAATTTAGTCCATTGAATCTGATCGAATTAATCCTAAAATGGCTCAGAGTGTGAAACTGGTGAATTCATATAAACTGATCGTATTCTTACATTTACTATTTGCTAACGCCCTACTGTCTTTCATGCTTAGCATTCTTCTAAAAACTCAAATTGTGCATATTCACCACCAGTTCATCAAACCATAATGAGATCGGGCTATCTGCATCCTGCATGCTTTCTCCGTTTTTTTTTTTCTCAGTTTAAGCCTTTTCCTCTCCAAAAGCGGTGCACTGTGCTGCTAAAATGAATGAGGCTGTCAGAAAGCTAAAGCGGGGTGATTTTCACACCCCCTACCATATGTCATTGTGAGGACAAAAGAAAAACTGGACTTTGTGCCAATAATGACTATTTTTAATGTGCAGTTCTCAGCTATCACATGCATATCCACGGATGCCACCGACACCGACACCTGGCTCTATTGAATACAAGTGCTCTTATACAAGCCTATGCTCTTATCTCTGCTTTCTAAAAATTTCACACAATATATTGGTGATTCAATAAGAAAATCATTACTGTGATCAGCAACACAGAGCTCAAGTGTTTTTATAGTAGATGACGCACATGGTTGTATATGAGAAAGCACAAATATCGCTGATGGCATGTCTTTTTAGGTGCTTTACTGATGCTCAATATGTCCCTAATATGTTTCCTGTCAAATGTTAAATTTAGACATTTAGACACTCTTTAAGATGTTTATAATTTAGAATGTAGATAAAGCTGCTTTTAAAAGATGCTTATCAGATAGTTGCACACAAGAGCACTCTTATAATGTGCTATATAATCCAGAAAAATACATTAGACAAGTTCTGGTTCGCTCTTGCCACATGCTTTCACAAGTGACATATGGAAAAAAATTAACAGCAATGTTAATGTGTGGATACAAAAAAAAGCCTGTTTTACTGCAACTGGTAGTCAGAATGAAAAGGGTTTGATCACTGATGTCAGCTGTGGAAGATGGCAAACTCCATTAATGATAGATTGTTGATATTAAGAACAAAATATGGATAACAGAAGTGAGATTGCATCTAAATTACATTAATGAGACAAAACAAAACCCAGAGTCTGATTGCATTTTTGATGTATGACACATCAAGATTCTTAATGATCTTCCGAAAGGAAATTAGATCTGGGCCCGTATTCACAAAACATTTTATCTTACCACTAAGAGTTCTCCTAAATAGCAGTAAAAGTTTTTAGCTAAGAGTTTTCTATTAAAACCAATTCACAAAGCTGCTGAGACAAACTTTTACTAAGGAATAGAGAGAAGTCTTAGCTAAGAGTAAGGGGGCGGGGTTGACCTCGTTGCTATGGATGATGTCTGCATGCTTACTATGCACACAGTGATTGGCTGATTGTCTCTGTCAGAGATTTATACGTAGAAATATTGTACAGCACAATTTTATGTTGCCACATTCAAATAAATATTTTAAAATGCAGGCTAAGAGTCACTAATTAAACAAGTATATGTTTAGCTAATTGTCAGCCTCTTACATGTATGCTTCTTGTAAACAATTAGTGAATATGCATATAAACAGCCTTTTAGTTAACAGAGTGGAATAATCATGGCTGATAGTAAGACATGCAAATGTAAAAGAAAACCAAACTAGACGCAAGAAGAGCTGTTACTTCTTGCCCAACTGGTTCATGAAAGCAAGGATATAGGGTAATCAAAGGAAAATTGTCCCCGACTAGTTCTACAACAGTCATAATACCCCCGCAATTAAGGCGATATACCTTTTTAAAAGCCCATTATCATCAAATGTTTCTAAAATGTTTACATTCCAAGGCAGATTGCCGGCAACAGCCATTTTAGTATAGTTGTGGTTCGGTCTTAGTGACTTAGGAGTCCTCTTCACTACTCCTAACGTTTCACAGATTTAGGAGCTAGTTTTAGTGCTAAAATTCTTTGTGAAATACTCTTAGAGCAAAAATTTAAGACTGACACACCCAAGATTTTCTCCTAAATTGGCAAGTTATGAGCTACTTTTAGCCTTAAGATGTTTTGTGAATACGGGCCATGCTTTCTAGAAGGGATTGTAGTTCTTTCTCTCATTAAAGCCATTAAGTACACAGTTTTGTACCTTTATATTTTGTCTAATTTTAAATTCATTTTTGCTTCAAATCAAATTTGTAATGTTGAGATGCACCTCATTGTTGGTTAGTTTGGTTCATGGCGTATAACTCTTTAACAAAAATCTTTACTCTTTAAAATCCCTATGGGGAACATAAAAAAACATATGGCAACATACCTGTGTTACTTTTATGTTTCTTGTATCACGCTGAGGACTTTTCATATAATCAAGATCAGTTAAAATAGCTCATTGGCTGTCTTGACTAAAATGGTTACTACAACTACTGACTGTAATAAAAGTTGGCAGGGAGGACAGTATTAATTTTAATATAAGCTAAAGGCTATATGATGAGCATACAACCTTTGTCAGATGGCTAGAAGCTCAGAAGTCCAGTTTTATTAAAAGAAACCTGAATTGAAATTAATGTAGGCTGTAGATTAATTTTCTATGGTTGTATATGTAATGTTTGTCCTCATTTGTAAGTCGCTTTGGATAAAAGTGTCTGCTAAATGACTAAAAGTAAATGTAAATGTAACGTTCATCCAGTTGCTGCTAGGCGGACTGTTTTCCCTTCACTTTTTTTCCTATAGTGCAGTGGTTCTCAAACTTTTTTGGTCACGCCCCCCTTTAAACCTATAAAAAAAATATTTTATAATATTATAAGCTCAAATCAATATTTCATGTTCATGGAGCTGTGTAATAAGGTGGATAATCAGCCAGTCGATAGCACAATAATAAACTCCTTTTAAGCTTTGATTTAAGTGTCAAAAAATTCTTAGTAAAAAGTAGGACTTTTCTAAGAGTAGGAGACTTTTATAAAGAACCTAAAAGCAACTTTCAGTAAAGTCTAAGACTGATTCTTAAGTGTTGACTGAGGTGACACTTAAGTGTTGTGAACTAAGGACTACAATGATGTCAACACAAAACGGCCGACCTCGACCTCAATAGTGGTATAGTCGAAATAGCCAATAGTGAGCCTGCACATATGAAGTTACAGCAGCACAACACCAATAATTTAATGTAAATACAATAAAATCATTTCATTAAGACACTGAAATATTTTAATATTTAAATGTATTTTTTTTAATGCTTTGCATTGTGCAAAATTATCACTAATTATTACTGATGCTTTATTTTCTATTGGTATGTCTCCTCATTTACAGTTGGAGCAATGATGTGAACATGAGTTCCATCAATGGCTCCAACAACTCCAGGAAAGCCCACAATCCTCATAAAAGTGGCTTTTTTTGGAGCATGGTTTGGCGGTTAGTTGGAAAGTCAATGAACTGCAATATAGTAGTGGTCAAAAGTGATGTTTGACATCTTCAAATTTGACATCACCCCTAATTTTAAAAAAAAAAAAGGTGCAAGATTTTGTAAGCATATTGCATAGTTGCTTAGAGTCAGTTGTTTTATTTGAGATAATAATGCAATGAAACATTTCAAATTGTGCGGTCATCATTTTTTGCCATGCTGTCTTACAAAGAAATTATGAACATATGCAAAAACAAGAGGACCAATTAAATATTAATAACTTATGTTGTAGTCAATGTGACATCACAATGTTGCCAATTTAGTGATTTTGTCACTGGATTTAGTGACTTCCTCGCCCCTCCCAATCACTCTACCACTGATCTATATTTATATAGATCAGTGAACTCACATTTATGATGTCATCAACTTTCAATTGAAAGCAGTTGGCAACACTGGTCAGTGTTTTTTTCTTTCTTCTTCTTCCCCCTTCATATTTTGATGGTTTAAGTGAAATGTGGAGGCATTAAAAAACCCTCCACACATCACTTTTGGCCACTGTTGTGTTTGGTGGGGTTAGTGCCACAATATTTAAGACCCTGCTTACTGTGTCATCACCGGTGCATTGCTGCAATTTTCCAGCCAAAAAAATGTAATTACTACTTTCATTTCTGCAGTTAGAGCATTGACTTGTAGAGTGGAAGAAGTGATTACATTTCTTCCTTTGTCCGTTACAAAAAAAAATTTTTTGACTAACTTGACAAACATGTTTGTATCATTTTATCAACTCCATATCATCATATAACTCTAATATGTCATATCTTCGTTGGGAAGTGTTTGTCTCCTCCTCTTTGCTGCCATCTTGTTACTCCTAACTAGGTTAAGAGACCTCTCCAGCTCTCTTAAATAATTTAGGAGCTGAGACCTAGTCTTGACACTTAGGAACCTTTATGAATCACTCTTGAAAGTGAAAGTGAAAATCTTATTCTTAAGTCTAGGAATAAGAGTAAACTTACGTCATTCTTAGAATTTTGACACACTTAAGACTAAAATTGTACTCTGAGCGGCTTTATACATACGGCCCCAGGACTTACCACGCCTGCAGTTCATCCGATCGGAACTCTTGTCTACGCCAATGTTTTCCACAGCGACAGATATCTGAGTAACTCCTTCCGCTCCGGCTACAGTCTGCGTGCGCACAGCCACAAAGCTAACAACACCGAGTACTGTTACAGGAACCTATCGTTTACTTTCCTCACATTTGACTGCGGTTTTACTTTAGGTAAGTACACGAATAATATCTGCATACAATAACTAATGACTGTATTGTGGTTTGTATTTATATTTATATATACAATATACATATATATATATATATATACAAATATTTGATTTGAAAGAATGTTACCAGTTATCAGCTGAATTAGTTTAACTAATTAGCTTAACAAGTAAATATATGCTCAATCTCTACAACGTAGTACAAGCTGATGATTTGACTTTGTTTTATTGTTTTTTTTTACGACAAGACTAATTAACTGTTTTGCTTTTCGACTTGTTCTTGATGTAAGCCATTTCTTACTGTACTTTAAATATTTCTCTTCCTTAAACACACAGTCTGGTGGGTGTTATTATTCCAGAACACACTTTAAGTGTGTGTGTGTGTGTGTGTGTGTGTGTGTGTGTACGTACGTACGTACGTACGTACACACACACAATCTAATAAAAATGCATCAAATACATCTTTAGTGAAATGGTAGATCTCATTTGTTGAAGATGAGGAATAGCAATAAATCTGTATACCTCAGAAGGGCTTTAAGTTATTGTTTTACTTTCTTTTTATCAGAAACACAGATAGTTGAAGATGACAGACCGTTACAACATCCACAGTCAGCTGGAGCATCTGCAGTCGAAGTACATCGGCACAGGCCACGCAGACACCAGCAAATGGGAATGGCTGGTTAACCAGCACAGAGACTCATACTGCTCCTACATGGGCCATTTCGACCTTCTCAATTACTTCGCTGTCACTGAGAACGAGAGCAAGGCTCGGGTCCGCTTTAACCTGATGGAGAAGATGCTGCAGCCGTGTGGTCCCCCAGCTGACAAACCTGAAGATGCTTAGGACCGTTTTGACTCGGTCCCTACAGCCGGATGTTTTCTGTTCATTCAGTGCTGGGTGACCTTTGAATCCTCTTGCTTGTGAACCAGTCAATGTTTTCTCTTTTTTTTGTGATATTTTGTATAGATTGTTGAATTACAAGTGTGCTTGAAGAAAATAAAATTGATACCTTATCACAAATGCTTTGTATTATTATTATTATTATTATTAATTTTGATAATTACAAACTTTTTACAAGAAATGTATACTTGTTCAACAAGGGCCCAGTCATCTGATCAAAAGTGACAGAAAAGACTTTCATAATGTTACAAAATGTTTCAAATAAATTGTTCTTTTGAAGTTTCTGTTCATCAAAGAACTTTGAAAAAACAAAAATGTATCATCTTTCCACACTAAAAAAAATGTAAGAAATGTTTCTTGAGCAGCAAATCGGCATAGAATGATTTCTGAAGGATCATGTGATACTAAAGACTGAAAAAATGGCTGCTGAAAATTTTGTTTTGCCATCACTGCAATAAATTACATTTGAAAATACATTTAAAAAAATGACAATTGTTTTAAATAATAAAACAGTATTGCACCATATTACTATTTTTATTTTTTTTTTGGTCAAATAAAAGCAGCCTTGTAAGCATAGTTTTTGTATGATTTTTTTTTTTTTTTGAATAAAATACTTGCTAACAACCAGTTATATATAACGTAGTATGTTAAAGGAATAGTTCACCCAAAAATGACAATTTTGTCATAATTTACTCATCCTGAAGAATGCTGGTAATCAACTGGCTGATGGTCCCCATTGACTTCCATAGTATTTCTTGTTATTCCAAACCTTCATGACTTACTTTCTTCTGTTGAACACAAAAGAAGTTATTTTGAGGAAGGTGGGTAATCAAAACAGTTTCTGGTCCTCATTGGCAGCCATAGTACTTTTTTCCCTACTATGGAAGTCAATGGGGACCATCAACTGTTTGGTTCTTCAAAATTCTTCAAATTATCTTCTTTTGTGTTCAACATAAGAAAGAAATTTATACAGGTTTGGAATGACATGACGGTGAGTAAATAGTGACAAATTTTAATTTTTGGGTGAACCCTTTAATGTTCTTAAAGGAAGTTACTATTATTATTAAAAAGGGGTCATATGATGCGATTTCAAGTTTCCTTTCTCTTTGGAGTGTTACAAGCTGTTCGTGAATAGATAAGATCCCTGAAGTTGCAAAGACTAAAGTCTCAAAACCAAAGAGATATTCTTTATCAAAGTTAAGACTCTGCCACACCCCCCTAAAACGGCTCGTTCTAACACGCCCCCACATATCTACCTCACTATGTGGAAATATTAGCATAATGCCGCCCAAATGTGCACGCAAATAAAGAAGGCGTGGTTTCAGTAACCGCAGTTAGTGTTGAAGCAGCCATGTGGGATGCGGGGCATAGAGGACCTACAATAATGAACAGTATTTGAAAAATATTTTGTTTTTTTAACATTAAAGCATGTCAACATATTCTGTTACACCAAATACACAAAATAATGATATTTAAAAAAAGCATCATATGACCCCTTTATTAAGAAAATTGGTTATCTTTATTTTGGGGGTGTCTGGGTTGGCTGAGAGTCTGAGTGGGGGGTCTGAAACCCTCCACTATTGCAAGGAAATTTAAGGTTGGTCTAATAAGTGATTTACTTTCAATGTGAAAACGGATCCATTTACATGATCATGAGATTAAAAAGTATGGAAAAGCTGCTTCGATTTGCTGTGGCATATTGCTCATTTAAAGGAAAATCAAGCAAATGCATATAAAAGGAGTGGATTTTTCCAGTGTTTGTCTGGATAAATCAGTGCAGAGGAAATTTCGTATCACCATGACTTCAGTGATAAGAGATTTGCAGCTTGGCAGTCAGCGGTTGCCACTAGCATAGCAGGGCAAATCCTCGCCAGCTGGCCACACAGTTTGAGTTAGTTCTGCAGTGTCAGGATCAGGAATAACATACTGGCACAGCAGATCACCGGCTATGCTCGTGCTGAAGCTCAACAGCTATTTTTATTTTAAAATGAAAAATAATGCTGAATTAAGCTGTTGAAGAGCCCAGAAAATTCTAGAAGGATGCTACAGAAGGAATTATGTAACAAACAACCCTTGAAGTAACAAACAACCCTTTGAGCCACTCATTACCCTCCTACACAGCCAGCTTGAGCTCTTCTTTCAAACATATCGTCGCTCTGAGAAAACAGCACCTGGACTGGCCACACAAATAGGTCGAGCAAACATTTCATGTCCTTCAGCGGCTGACACTAACCTTGACAGCATGCGTTTACGGATGTGGCTATTGCTAAATTTAGTCAACCATAAAGCCATCACCAACATCGCTAATGGTAAAATCTCAAATAACCATCATTTCCAGCGGAAAAGCCGTTAGTATGAGCAAAGAAAGCTCTGTCACGTGCTTGCTAAGTCTTACGTGTGTGCTAGTGCCCAAATGTGCTAATAGATTAAAGGTCATTTTGCTCCAGCCAGTCATTTATGCACAATTAACTTTGAAAATCTGTCTATCATGCTGTAATTCAATATAAGATCATAAAGTTTAAATTTAAAACGTTTTGTATGAGTACCTATCTATGATGATTATATATGTGAGAACAGATGCCAGTACCATCTGATTAGAGGCACAAGCAACTGAAGAAGAAAAACAAGTTTAAACAAGCATGAAATCAAATGGAGTGCACTTAGCGCCTGTGACGACAGCACCGGTTATGTCTAAAAGGGCTTGATGGGAAAGGTGTGACCCGCCGACATATACAATATTTGCTCTGTATGTGTATGCATAGCAGTTCCTCATACAAGAAATAGGCTGACTGTTATTGTATGTGTGGTTTACTATACATCTAACATGTGCCACAAAATCAAAGGCGGCTTATGGATGACTTGTAGATGGATCATTACAGATCCACAGTTAGAGCACAAACTCATGTCAATATTAAGACGATGCCCCAATGATATACAATACATGACTGTGCCGTGCGTCAATGGGAAAACAGTTCAAGAGTACAGCTGACTCGTTTAACTCTCTTACGCACAAAGATTTCCTGGACGCCATCCAGTATTTACAATAACAGCTAGCGTCTGATTGATCATTTACAATAATGACATATTAATACAATTATTTAGACTTAAAATCTATGTCTGGCCACTGCAGGATAATGTCAGCCTACTGTAGGAACCAGTACACCTATAATAAAAGTAGCTTATTTTAAAATGGATCTTCACCTAAAAAATACCTAGCCTGCCTTTTAGCTTGTAGAAGTATATAGAATAAAATGTGTATGGTCATAATTATTCAATATGAATGTTAAAATTCTTACCAAACCTGAATAATGACATTTATGCTCTCTGCTTAATAAAGAATCAAAGATCCTAATGAATCCTGCTCATTTCATTAGGAATTCTTTGGCTTTGTTTTACTAGAATCAGTTCTGTAGTTGACGGCACCATGAAATAAAACCAGCCAGATGTCCTTCTGTCCTTTCATTCGTTGCCTAAACATTCTGTAAAACAAGTGCACTCATGATGCTTGGATTCTCAGCCCATCATCTTCATTAAGCACAATAACAAACAAAGGCAACAGTGATTTGAGACCATTTAGATGTAAGAGATAATTGGACAGGAAACAAAGGATACTAGCTATATGTTTTGATTTTATAGCTTGAAATCTTTTACATTTTCATAGATACACACACACACAAAATGTACATGATTTCAAGATTATGTGTATGCTCTATATATTCAAGATACGCTTTTTGGTAAAAGAACAACCACACAATTCTCACTGACAGATATCTGTCAGTGTTCCATTTCATTATAAAAATCACTGAAACACTGAAGAAAAAAATTTTAATTAGAAAGACTGAAAATATGACTATTAGATCTATTGTATTCTATTTAGTTTAGGATTCTATTTGTTTTCTGCTTTAAAACATGAAGAATATATAGACAATCTTTAAATAGGAACTCGAGGGACTATGAAATTCAGATGTGTACTAATCAATACTCCACTAATCCATTTAATAAAATCATCTTAACGGGTTTTCCTTGATTAAACAGCACTGAAACCTGCATAAATGTTGTATAGTATTATATATATAATACAATTGTCCAGTAGTGACTGAGGGGGTTTCTCTTATGTACACTTGAAAATTTGATGACCTAAATAACTAAATAAAACAGAGATAATAAATGCAAGTTAATGTTTTCACCATCTTTAAATGAGAAAGAAACCAAGCCAACATACTGCAATATACTAGATGTATTCACATATATCATATACAGACTGTACAATTGATTTGAAATAATTTAAGTTTCCCCAATTTCTAACTACATGAACAAAAAAAAACAACAACAACAACCTCAGAGCTGGACATGAGGGAGCGTCCAGCAAATTCTGCCTGTGACATACAATCATATATTATATAGAGCACCAAAATGTGCAATAATGCAATACAGACACATTCTATAATGGACTAAAAGAATGGACTAGAAGCCCTTTCCGATTTAAGTTAAAACTACTGGTTCACTACATTATATAGCTTGCCACATCTTGTATATGGTCGACACCACTGTACTCAATAAAACCCACCAAATTTATGTACAACCTAAAAGCCAAATCAATGAGATGCTAGCTGGAACTTTGGGAAATAATGTGGGGGAAACTAAAATACAAGGTAAATGAACATGAATTGTATCATAAACATATGATGATAGTCTCTTCCTGAACAGAAGTTACAGATATGTTACAATATGACCACATATATATCAAGTAATCAGACTTTTTTGAGGAAAAAAAAACAACACTGTCAAGGCACAACATAAATCTGATTACATTCTATTATATTCAGGATGTATTGATCTGGATACAGGCGAATAATGGCAGTAATAAATCTGGACATCACGATGCCCAAATAAACCTCAATATCCATGTAATATACACTGGACCAGATACATGAGTCTTATAAAATGTTAGGGCAAATCCTCGCCAGCTGGCCACACAGTTTGAGTTAGTTCTGCAGTGTCAGGATCAGGAATAACATACTGGCACAGCAGATCACCGGCTATGCTCGTGCTGAAGCTCAACAGCTATTTTTATTTTAAAATGAAAAATAATGCTGAATTAAGCTGTTGAAGAGCCCAGA